GCTGCATTTTGGCCTCGATATAATTATAGCGCATATCCAAATCGATGTGCCTGTTGACGCATGCGTCATCTGAGTGCATTGCTTACAGGAATTCACGGCCTTTTTTGGTTGGCCAAGTTCCAACGACCCGTGTTTCTGCCCACGCGAATTCGTAACCGGTTTTTAGTGTCTGCATATATACCTTAAATCGGGCTTGCCCCTATACGAACGTATATGAAGCTTCCGGACTCCAGCCCTAAGCCAATCCGGAGATGGTCATCCTCAGGCTTGCAATCACGATATGTCAGTAAATTTCAATCATGTGTGATCCCCGATCTTACTTTGTATCTCTTTTCGGGAGAATTGGCTGATCCAGGCACTTATGTGACTCAAAAATCTTATTTGTAGGCATTTTTACACTTTTCAGTGAAGAAGTTGAACCAATTATTACCATGAAGGGCTTTCATTTTTATGCGTCTTTTTCTTGTGTCTTCAGGGCAAAGACAAAAAGGTGTACTACCTCGGCCTCACACCATCTGGCATCCTTGTCTACGAAGGCAGCAACAAAATTGGACTCTTCATCTGGTATGCAAATAGTATGATAATATAATAATCGTAGTATCATTTGCGCCCCAAATATTTTGTAAGGGGATTTTTTAAAAGGTCTATTCCATTTGACTTTTCTTCGAATATCATGCGTTTTTCAAAGGCACTCTGGAAAAAAGTATTTACCGGTCCCTTCTTGAGATCGTTCTGAAGTTCAAAACTCAGGGTACGGATAACTAAATTAGCTGAGATATATTCGTAGTTTCCTTCCTTTTGTTGATGACATACGTCATTTGTCGGTAACTGCATTCATAAGGCTTCTTACATGAATGTGAATACGAGGTGCTGGGTTATTTACTTCTTGTCGGCACTCAGTCCTCAAATATCGGATATTCGGTAACTTAATTTTATTTTTTCATAAAAATGAAGTCTTGTTCTATTTGCAGTTTCGGTAGTAACCTGGTCTAATTAACTTTTGTACCTCTCTAGCAAATTCTGTGCGCGTAACCAAAATTGGAATGATCGTACAGATTGAGCTACGTAATTTAGAGGCCAATCGCGACATGGAATCTGATAGCCAATTCCGAACTTTGGAGTGGCTTATTTGGTTTTTGATCTGCATGACTTGTAAGTGTATGATAACCTCGAGCCGATTATTTACATCGGAAAATAAGTCATTGCCAAAGGGTTTTCATCAAACTTTACTAACCTTTTCGAATATTTTTTCTTCAGAAGCATTTTCACTTCTACCGCTTAAGTATTCTGACCTTGGCCTGTACGACTTTCATTTAGGTGTTGTATCAGGCTTTCATATATAATGGCCTCGTGGCCGATTTTTGTACAATAATGGCACTTTCTTCATTCTGGCTCACAGTGAACATTTTGTAGTCTAGCAATTTTGCTCTTTTCTGAAACGCTACCTTTGAAGGGATAGTGAGAGAAACTAGTCGATATTGGCTTGCTTATATCGTTTTCCAGTCACTAGAAAAGTCCCCAAACATACTAATATACGCGTCTTTAATCTTACAAACGTCTGCTTTTTTAACCGTACGCTTAACTATATAACCGACCGTTACCTGCCTGTATTTATAATTATAGACATGGGCTGAAAGGCGCCCCTGTCATTTTTAAAGTCCCTAAGCAACTGTGACACGCAGAAGATACATGACAGTTTAAAATTTCTTTAGTTATTGTTGCATGGGTGCATATGGCGGATTTCTGGCATTGTTTAAAACCTAAGCGATTGTGTTCGATGATTTAAATGCAACATATGCGACTACTTGATAATACAGTTAAGATTGTCCAATGGATGACTGCACACAGCTAAGGTAACATCACTTCTAACCACGATTGACTGGGTGTGATAAGAAACCTTCGAGTGCTCTCCGGCAAATCCGTGACCTAGCACGTGACTCGACAATTAGTCAACATGTCAGCGCTCGTGACGTTTCTGGCTGGACGGTTATATAAGTGAATTCAGGTCCAACTTATAAATTCCTTCCGCGATTATGTCTTTTGGTTTTTAGAAGAATGAATGATGTGACTGATTCCCCCAAAAATTTTCTTCCAAGTATATTTGTAAAAGTATTGCGGAAGGGAATTTTAGCCACCAGGGCAGGCCTTTGTTTATAAGGTGTATCGCACTCAAATTTGAAAACATCTTCAGAGATACCAAAGTTATTGGGACTTCGAATCGACCTCATGCTAGGCCTGCCGTACACTTTTGCAAGCCCAGTCTCGGGGGGGGGTTAATGGCGACAGTGAAGAACCGAAAGTTCGGATAAAGGGTGCTCGTGATCGATTCGCCAAAATAGAGACCCTTTCATATGAAAATGGATGGCATGCGACCCCTTTTATTTCATTATCAGTTTGCGATCGCAAACAGTTCAAGCCCAGCCAGAAAATTCAGTGAAGGTAACTTTTCTTCGTGCCCGGACGTTTTCGGATAAACTCCACTAATATGTTAGGGTGCCTGCTACTAGTTCTAGCAATCTTCGAGTTCTGATCGTCAATTGACTTGTTGGACTCTAGGACTGTGCTCTAGTGAGCTCAAACTTTCCTCTCCTTTGACCTTGAAGGCTAAGGCGTATTGTTGTTTTGAAGCAAAATGCATTGGCTGGAAATAGCGCAAAGCCATCTAACCTATCTCTTACGTGCACACAGCATCGATGAGATAACTTAGGCGGCCTAGCTTGCAAACATGCCGAAAGTCGGAAAAAGCACGTCCAGTCGTGTGGATGGGTGAGTGGGAACGTGTTAAAACAAGGGCGCTAGTCCTCTGCAACGAATGTAGATGTCACGCGGACCGCTTCCAGGGCACTCAGGCGTACATCATTTGTATGCGAAAAAGTGCGTCAGCTGGGACATTGAATGTGACAGGGCTGTGTGTCGCAGGTACAGCCACACGCCTGCCAATCTTCGTATGCAGGGCATGAATCACTCCTTGTGACGGAAGATAGTACACGTTCACTTGGAGACGCTTGTGTTGAGATAGGAGAGGAGGGT